TCTTTTACATCCCTGGTTAGATTTATTCCTAGGTATTTTATTTTTTTAGGGGCTATTATAAATGGTATTGTTTTCCTGATTTCCTTTTCATCATTCTCCTTATTGCTGTATAGGAATCCAATTGATTTTTGTATGTTTATCTTGTATCCTGCTACTCTGCTGAATCTTTCTATTAGTTCCAGTAGGTTTCTCTTGGAGTCTTTAGGGTTTTCTATGTATAGTATCATATCATCCGCAAACAGGAACAGTTTAACTTCTTCATTACCGATTTGGATGCCCTTTCTTTCTTTTTCTTCCCTGATTGCTCTAGCTAGAACTTCCAGCACAATTTTAAATAGGAGTGGTGATAAAGGGCATCCTTGTATTGTTCCTGTTCTCAAGGGGAATGTTTTCAGCCTCTCTACATTAAGAATGACGTTGGTTGTTGGTTTTGCATAAATGCCATTTATTATGTTGAGAAATTTTCTTTTGCCATTTTTTAATTGGGTTCTTGGTCCTTTTGTTGTTGAATTGTAGGAGTTCTTTAAATATTCTGGATATTAAACCCTTGTCATATATATGGTTCCCAAATATTTTTGCCATTCGTTAGGTTGTCTCTTCACTTTGTTGATAAAGTCCTTTGATGCACAAAAGTTTTTAATTTTGATAAAACCTAATCTATTTTTTTCTTTTGTTGCTCATGCTTTTGGTGTCATATCTATGATCTGTTGCCAGAAACAAGGTCTTGAAGTTTTACCCCTATGTTTTCTTACAAGAGTTGTATGGTTTTAGTCCTTATATTTAGATTGTTGATCCATTTTGAGTTTTTTTCTATGGTATAAGATAGGGTTCCAAGTTCATTTGTTTACTTTTAGAAATCCAGTTATCGCAGCACAATTTGTTGAAGAGACTATTTGTTGTCCACTGAATTGACATGGATACCCTTTCAAAAATCAATTGGTCATAGACGTATGAGTTTATTTCTGGACTTTCAATTCTGTTCCATTGGTCTGTATGTCTATCCTTATATGGATACCACACTGTTTTGTATTTATTATAGTATGTTTGGAAATTTGGAAGTGTGAGTTTACCTAGTTTGTTCTTCTTTTTCAAGGGGAGGTAAATTTTGAGACCTTCCATGTCTCCTGATGCTACCCTCTACTTGATTGACAATTTGAATAAAGAATGTACTTTAAATTCTATCCCACATCCATTTACTTGTTTGCTTATTTATTTGTTTAAAACACCATCTCTATTCAGAGACTTGAACAAGGTAAGAATCTAGTGGCATTGGTACAGTTGAGACTGTCCTTGTAAACACAGGGATTCCAGTGGAAGTGGGGAGAGGTTCCCCTACCTTCTGGCCTTAGACCCGTAGTAACACATGGCTTCTCAGTTATTGTAGATATTCAGTACAAGAGGGCCTAAGTTGTTTGAAGTTTTGTCTTGAGTACCAGTGCTGTTCTGCCTGCTTTCACAAGTGCCAAGGAGAAAGAAGAATGCCTGTACTTTCCCCCCACATTGAATCTATATGTATACATTAATCTTTAAATTTGATAATGATGGCAACAAGACCAGTAGCACTGTACATGGGTGTGCTGAGAAAGGCTAATATCAAGTATATGTTTTAAGTATTTTCAAAAGGATCAGTGTGTGATAGGTCTTTATTCAAATTTCCATGTGTCTGAACCTTCAGAAGTGTCTTTGGTGTCCTTTAAATTATAAAGACTAGATTGACATAGAGATCTGTCTGGGTTTTTTTTTTTTTTTTCAAAATATCGCCAAAAACAACATTTTTCAAAATATTGCCTCTGTTCCTTTCTATCCTTCTGGATCTCCAATTATACATTGTTGTACTTTTTCATTATATCCATATGAATCTCTTGGTTTTTTTTTTTTTTTTTTGGCAATATCTCCAAAAATAACATTTTTAAAAATTTCACATTTGGATATTGTTGTATGAATGAGTCTTCAGTTTGATTACTGAAATTTTTGCCATGTTTGATCATCTGTGTTGATTAACAGTAGACATTTAAGTGCTTACTTTGTGCTAGTTGCTTTGCAAAGTATTTAAATAAGTGTGTCTTAAAAAAAGTCATATGAGATTATATTCTATTGTTATACTCATTTTTACAAATGAAGTAATGAGGCTTAGAGAGAGACAGTAATTTGTTAGGGTACTGAATCTTAAGAGATATTAACTTGCTTAGGGTCTTGTAGCATTTAAGTGACTAAACAAGGGTTCTAACCCAGTCAGTCTAACTCAAAGCCTAATTCTTAACTTTTAAGCCATTCCACCTGGTGGTGTAGTGGTTAAGAGCTACAGCTGCTAACCAAAAAGTTGGCAGTTTGAATCCACCAGGCACTCCTTGGAAACTGTATGAGGCTGTTCTACTCTGTCCTGTAGAGTTGCTGTGAGTCGGAATCGACTCCACGGTAGTGGGTTTACTTGCCATTTGATAGCTGTTTTTTTTTAATCCTGATTTTGACTGATCTTTAGGTAGTTTAATTTAGATAGTTTAAGACTAATTGTTTTCATTCTACTGAGTCTGAGCAGCCATGCAGCATGGATAATTTTTTTTTTTACGTTCACATTTTAGAAATATTTCTACATTTTTAAAATATTAATTTTCTATTTTAACATAAAAGTATTTAATCTAGTTGACCATAGATCAGTCTAAATTTTAGTAGATAATTCTTGGTTTCTTTCCCAAGTTTGTGGTTTCTAACTTCATAATTTTTGAAGGATTGCCTGGGCACCGGGAAGTTGAAGTTAAATATGTTGACTTTGGTAATACTGCAAAAACAACACTGAAAGAAATGCGTAAAATAAAGGATGAGTTTCTGAATCCCCAAGAGAAGGTAATCCACTTAGTATGAATTCTAGAGTTAGAATATTCACACAAATATAAAAGTAATTTTAAAGTCATTTTTACCATAGAAATATTCTGTTAACCACCATTTTTGTCTGTAAATAGTTTCTGATACAGGGATTGTAGGTAAGTATTGCTACAGTTACTATTTAAGAAATAATATTGTATATCTTGGAAAGTAAGCATAAATTATAAACATTTTTAAATATGTGTATTTGTGTGTAAGTACTTACTGATATGCAACTTTTAATGTATCAAATCATTTTGAGATGACTATATAATGTTAAGAGTTTCATGTTATCATGTATATTGAGTGAAAAAGCTAATCAGAGAAGTACTTTTACTGTGATCCCACCTATGTTTATATATATGTATGTGTGCAAAAGAAAGAGAAGTCTAGAAGAACATGTAAAAAAAATTAACCTTGCTTATATTGGGGGAGTAGGATTCCAAGAGAAAGATAAGGGGACTTATTTTCTAGTTTATATGCTTCTATATTATTTGAATTGTTATTAAACATTATTTTTCATTTTGAAAAATGGGTAAGTGTTACAGAAAAAAATTTGAAAATACAGATGAGTAAAAGAATCATTCAGAACTATTGTTCAATATTTTTGGTATATATACTTCTATGAGTATATTTCTGCATCTTCTATATTTTTAACAATTATAGATTCAGACTATATATAGTCTTATAAGATGCTTTTCTCATTTAACAGTGTATCATATATGTTTGTAATTATTTTACTGGATGCATGTTATTCCATCGTATGAATTATAATTCATTCAACCAAATACTCTGCTGTTTCCAATGATTTATGTCTCTAAACACTGATGGATGCTTTTGTACATTCATTTGGTTATTTTATAAATATGTACTACATTCAAACACAAATTTCAGTTCTATACAGATTTATATAAAATTTTATTTCAATCCTAAAATAGCTATAAATTAAGTTTACTTTATTAATGTTGGAATTTTGTTTGACACAGGCAATTAAATGTAAGCTGGCCTATATTGAACCATGTAAAAAGACAAACCAATGGTCCAGAGACGCTAAAGAAAAATTTGAAGAAAAGACTCAAGATAAATTTATGACATGTTCAGTCATTAGTAAGCTATTTCCATTTTTGTTTGTTATGTGACGACACATACTTTTAAATATAAGAATAATGTTATGATACAGCATTTGTTGTATCTTAGAGTAAATTTAATGTGCCATCAATAGCAGTAGTGAAAGATAGTATTTGTTGAGAATCAGGTCCAGCAAAATCATGTCTTCTGCAGGCTGTAGCATTTAACGTCAACACATGAGGCAGAAATTATCATTACAGATCAAGTCACGATGGATATGGACTCTTAAAAGTTTAGAAGCCAGGAATTGGCTTCTTTCATTTCTGTTTACAATTTTGCTGGGGCTCTGTCTCTGACCTTGGTGCCATGGATGCTAAAGTTTAATTTGCAGGAAGGTTAGCGGAGATACGGGATATGACTGGTAAATAGCTTTAATTTGTTGTTGTTTTTGTTTCATTTTACTTAAGCGAATTCAACTGTAGGCTCTTAGCATATTTGGGGGAAAATTATGCATTTTTTTAACAGTTCTGGAAATCAGAAGTTTAATGGCAAAACCTCATTTGAATTGACATGAAACTATGTATAGTCTTTATCTTTTTTAAAATGAATATTCATATATTCCACTTCAGAACAGTAATATTTGTGGAGTCTTGCTACAGACTCCGCTGGCAGTATTACAAAGTATGTGGTATATGTATTGTGTAGTTTTTCTCAATCTGAAGAATTCTAAATCCTAAACACATCTGGCCTCAAGGATTTTGGATAGGGAGATTGGGACGCTGTTTTTTACCTGATGTTTAACCAAGTTGTTCCAAAGCTATAACAAACACTGGCTGTGTTGGGCTTAATGAGTACTAGTGTAAGGTACACAAAGCCATGTTTATTTAGGATTGATTTATGGGATGCTCCAGGGCAATTTTTACTGTATTCTTTTTTCACTTTTATCACACTGCTGTTAAGTGAACTCAACCATCATGAGGTTATTAGCCTGTTTTACAGTGAGGGAACTGAACCTTAGAGATTAACTGCTAGAAGTCACGTAAGTTGGAATTGATCATTTATTCACTTTGTTGATACAAGAAATTGTTCTGAAGAAATGATTCTGTTGAAAAGGAATATGATTAAAGAACTTACATCTCTAGTCTATAGAATTTTTATATCTGGCTTCTCTGAAATGAACAAGAAATCAAGGGTTTCTTAGTCCTTGAGCAGCCTCTAAACTGATTTTGAGCAGAGTGTAACCTAGATAATTCTGCTTCCCAACTTCCCATTTTATTTTGTTGGTTTTTTTTTTCTTTTTCTTTTTCTTTTTTTTTTTAGCTCCGTCAAGACATGACTCCCTGGTCTTCTTTTTTTGACTCCCCCTTTTTCTTTCTCACTTAATTATTTGTTATTCCAATAACATCTAAGTCTTAGTTATACCATAGTTATTAACCTTAGGTAAATTGATTCAATGGGTGTCAGAACGCCCTGCCTGATCAAAAATATCTTTTCCCATTAACACATACAATGATGAGATTGAGAGTTTAAGAAACTTAAACTAACAGATGAGAATGGGAGCTTCCCATTAATATAGACTGTTACCTTATGAAGCAGGGGACATTTAAATTTTCATTATAAGAAAGCAGAGAAGATGGTTAAGGTACAGAACACAAGGAAAGGTGACCCTATTGGAATAATTTTTGGATAGGAGGTATGAACTAACTAAAGGGAATTCAAGAGATGGAAAGTAGAGAGATCAACGTTACTGAGGCTCAGCCTTTTGTTTCTTCAGATAATTTATCTAGTTCATTGAAAAGTAGCCATATTTGAAAAAAGCTTTCTAATATGTATTCTTATGACTAGCTAATATATGGTGTTACTGCTGATAATGGTTATCTTTTATTTAGAATCACCCCATTCTGACTGGCAGCTATCATCACCTTATTGTATAGAAGGTGTAGGCATTTATTCACATCTGAGCAGATCCTCTGTACTATGTACAATAAATAAGTAAATAAGCATATGAAATGTAAACTCTACCATCAGTTAACTCCCAATCTAGTTTAGGAAATCTGATAAACAACCAATTTTTCTTTCTAAAAGAAAGTAAAAGTTAAGTATCATTTGTCCTAAAAAATTAAAGGGTTAAAGAAAAGTGTGGTTAATTGACGATTCTATATTGAGTTTTTGTTGTTTTGAACTTTGTGTCATTCTGATAAAAGCTGTAAACTTTCTCAGATAATCACTGGGCTGAGTTAACTTTCATTCACTTATTTTGTCCTCCTTGAACTTGGTTCAGTTTCTTGAAACAGTTTTAAAAAACATGGCAGAATGTTTCTTCAATGAGCATATGTTAATTTATATTTTTTTTAATCTAAAAGCTTTTAAAACTGCTTTTAGTTCATTATTGAACAAACCACACACAGCAACCTAAAATGAATTTTCTATTAATTTGTATAAGCTACAGACAACATTGGCAATTCTTTATGTCTGCAAAATGCTACTTTTATTCCTGGAGAGAGAATATAACCTATCCAGCAGGAAACTTCATTTATGCAACATGAAAGAAATTGTTTCCTTTTTTTTTTTTTTTAGATTGCCTCATTTAGTGTTTTTTGCAACATATTTCTTTTCCCAAACTAGTCTTAATGGTTTTACAGAAATTCTGGAAGATAATGTACTCTTAGTTGAGCTTTTTGATTATCTTGGTGCTCCTGGAATGACTGCTACTAGTATTAATGACCAGCTGGTCAAAGAGGGCCTAGCATCTTATGAAGAAGGGTAAGTAGACTTGTATTTTCACTGTTCATAAGTAAAATTTTACTGCTGTCTACCTTAAATATTTGCCACTTTTTATATTTCTTGTTTGGTTGAGTTCTTTCTTTCTTTTTTTTTTTTTTTGAGTTTTTAAAAATTCTACCAAATGACTAGCTTACTTATTGAACTTAATGGGACAGTGCAGTGGTCCAAAGAAACAACAGAAAAATTCTTAAACCATCCTGGCTCAGGACACTTTCCTAGACCCTCTTTGTGCTATGTAATCATCCAAGGTATTCTAATCTATGCCATGGCTTTAGTTACGTTATTTTGTATATACATATATGAGTACATATATGTATACACACATAAAACATCCTGTGTATTTAATCCCTACTTTATGTATATATATAATTCCCAATATATATATGTACATATATATGTATTAAAAAAACCCAAACTTATTGCCGTCAATTCCGACTCATAGCGACCCTATAGGACAGAGTAGAACTGTCCCATAGGGTTTCCAAGGAGCAGCTGGTGGATTTGAACTGCCAACCTTTTGGTTAGCAGCCTATCTCTTAACCACTGCGCCACCAGGGCTTCATATTATGTATATATAATCTATAACTTATATGTGTGTGTGTTTATATATATAATCACATACACATATTCCCAAATTTATATTGTCAGTCCATACCTCTTTTCCAAAGGAGCCCTGGTAGCGCAATGGTTAAGCTCTTGGCTGCTAACTGAAAAGGTTGGCGGTTTGAACCCACCTAGTGGCTCCACAGGAGAGAAGACCTGGCTATCAGCTCTCGTAAAGATTACAACCTAGAAAGCCTTGTGGGGAAGTTCTGCTCTATCACATGGGGTCACTGTGAGTTAAAATTGACTTGACAGCACCTAACACCAACAACACACCTCTTTTTCTAAGCTGTAATATGGTTACTTGAATATACTTCGTTGTTATGAACTCATGACCTTTCCCTTATGACCTGTTTGCCTGCTCATGTTTCCTGTCTCAGTAAATGATATCAGTAATCCCCCCTGATGCTCATGCTAGAAAACCTGGAAGTCCTCTGAAATGCCTTCTTCATTATCTCTTATCCCTCTCATTTGGTCAGTCACTAAATTCTAGTGATTCTGCCTGCCTAAATATTTTTTTAAATTAGACATTTTTTTTCTGTCTTCTTTGTCCTGACATAGTTCAGCCGGCCAGACATTTTGCTTGTGGAATAAGAAATTCGTTGGAACTTTTCCTCCTGCTTTGAAATTGGCTTGTTGTTATTGTTGTGTGCCATTCAGTCAATTCTGACTCATACTGACCCTACAGGACAGAGTAGAACTGCCCCATAGGGTTTCCAAGGCTGTTATCTTTATGGAAGCACACTGCTGGTAGGTTCGAACCCTAACCTTTCAGTTAGCAGCTGAGCACTTAACCGGTCCACCACCAGGGTTCCTTTGAAATTGGCTACTGGGACCCAAAGATATGGATAAAAACACACTGGGTACTCCACATTCTAAGTTGGGCCAGACATCCTGTCCAGAGTTTGAGGTGGTCAGACATCTGCTACCCTGATCATACTGCCCATTCCCTCCACCACCTCTGAGTTGGGGTGGGGATGTGGAGAGGGAATTGTTGGTGTCACAGTTGTAGTTGTCACCTTTGTACAGAGTGCAGTGACTCTTTTCTTCTGTAGGAAAGTGGGAAGGGTAAGTAATAGGCCGCTCTAAGAGAATTACTCAAATATTTAGGGTATTCGCAAGAAAGAAAATTGATATAACATTTCCCACTGGATATCTTCTTATGCCGTGCATTTGGGAATTTTGCTTGTTTCTGGATTAGGAAAAATAAATGGGAAAGATACTTGGAGTCATTAGTGTAATGGGGGAATAGGGTGGCTTTTACTTCCATCCCAAAGGGACTCTGGAACCAAGAGAATGGCTCCTAGAAATTGAGGATGCTTCTAAGAAAAGGAGACTGGCATCTTATTTCTAGGTTGAATGTCTGCTTGGACATCCCCCTGTTGTACCTATTGGGAAGAGAAATGGCAAGATAGAGAGTGTAGTGATACAGTAGCCTGCATTCCCATTTGGAAAAATGTGAGTTTTCCTGGGTTTAAGTGGATACTTTTAAAGATATCTAGGCTTGAACCACCCAGGGTAGATCAGTGGTTGAGGCAAACAAAGAAGCAAGAGGACAGAGTAGGGGTGAGGAGGACTGGCAAGGTTAGAAATCAAGATAAAGTGATTCTTCCAATCAATAGGGTCTAGTACAGTGGAGTGGCCCCTAAGGAGTCCTCTAACAAACTCCCCACATATAGCCCTTGGGAAAGCCAATATTTGGGTAACAGCTACACTTGATACCTTAAGTGTAAGATGAAGAATCAGTGATACCCAGCAGAGGATTGCAACTACGTGCTCAGTATGTGATCATGCTGCTGCTTCCTGCCCTCATACTGGAGGAGCTGGAACCAGAAGAGAGAGGGCCTATCTTTTTTCTACTGTAGATCCTCAGTGAGGGAGGGAAAGAGATAAGATTAAACATTTAAAGTATATTGGACTAAGTTTTCTTTTTATTAAACTCAGGTTTAGTGAGGTATGATTTATAGACAGTTAAAATTCATCCTTTTTAGTTACACAGCTATATGAGTTTTGATGTACACACAGAGTCATATAACTGTCATCACAGTCAAGATACAGAATATTTCTATCACCTCAAGACGTTCCCCTTGTGCCCTTTGTAGTCAATCACTTTTCTCCACACCCAGCCCCTGGAAACCACTGCTTTAATATCTATTCCTATAGTTTTGAGTTTTCCACAGTGTCGTATAAATAGAATCATGCAGTATGTTGCCTTTTGTGTCTGGCTTCTTTCATTTAGCATAATGCTTTTGAGATTCATCCATGCATGTATCAGTAGTTTGTTTTATTTTATTTTGACTAGTGTTCCATTGTGTGAAGATACTGTAGTTTTATATTTTCATCAGTTAATGGACATTTGGATTATTTCCAGTTTTGAGTGATTTCCTGAATAAAGCTGACTTGCACACAGGTCTTTGTGTAGACATATATATGTATTCTTTTCTATTCCATAAATACCTAGGAGTGGAAATGTTGGGTCATAAGGTTTAACTTTATAAGAAACTACCAAATGATTTCCAATTTGGCCCTACCATTTTGCATTCCCACCGGCAATGTATCAGAATTTTATTGCTCTACATCCTTGCGAGCACTTGATTTTTATCATTTTGTGTTTATTTTAGCCATTCTTATAGGAATATAGTGGTATTTCATAGTGATTTTAGTTTGCATTCTTTAATGACTAATGATGTTGAACATCTTTTCATGTGCTTATTTGCCATCTGTATCTCTTATTTGGTGAATTATCTTTTCAAATGTTTGCCCCTTTTTTATTGTATTGCTTATTTTCTTATTGAGTTGTGAGACGTCTTTATATATTTTAGATACTTATCCTTCATTAAGTATATACATCGCAAATATTTTCTTCCTGTCTGTGGCTTGTCTTTTCATTTTCTTAGTAATATCTTTCAAAGAGGAGACTTTTTTACTTTTGATGAATTTCAGTTCACCAATTATTTTTCTTTTATGATTCGAGCTTTTTGTATCGTAACTAAGAAATCTTTGCCTAACAAAAGTCATAAAGATTTTCTCCTGTATTTTCATCTACAGGTTTTATAGTTTTAGGTTTTACATTTAGGTCTGTCACACATTTTGAGTTAATTTTGATATATTGTAAAAGGTATGGGTCCAGGTTCTTTTTTAAAAAAATATGCATGTCCAATTGTTCCAGTACCATTTTGAAAAGGTTAGACTTTCTCCTTGGAATTACTTTGGCTCCTTTGTCAAAAATCAGTGGGACATAAATATGTGGGCTTGTAAGTCTTGAAATCAGGTAAAGTGATCATCCAACTTTGTTCTTTTTCAAAATTATTTTGGCTGTTTTAAGTCTTTTTGTTTTTCTGTATAAATATTAGAATCAACTTGTCAGTTTCTACAAAAAAGCCTCCTGATTTTTATTGACATTGCATTTAAAAAAGAGAACCTGGACGCATACCTTTTACAAGACCATTTTGTGGAGAATTGACATCATAATACTGAATTTTCCAGACACATGAACACAGTATATCTCTTCATTTCTTTGTCTTCTTTGATTTCTCTTATTAATGTTTTGTAGTTTCCAGACTATACACCTTGAAAATATTTTATTATATAAATCTCCAAGAATTTCATGTTTTTATGCTCCTGTAAATGGTACATTTGTAAAAATTTTAATTTCCAGTTGTTCATTGATAGTCTAAAGAGATGAGATAGGATTGATTTTGACTTTATGTCCTGTGACCTTACTAAACTCATTGTTAGTTTTAGCTTTTTTGGTAGATTTTCTTTGGTATCAATGTAGGCAATCATGTCATCTGTAAATAAAGACAGTTTAATTCTGCCTTTCTAATCTTTTATTTCTTTTTCTTGCCTATTGCACTGGCTAGGACCTCTAGTATGATGTTGAATAGGAGTGGTGAGAGCAGGCATCCTTGCCTTGTTCCCAATCTTAGGGGAAAAACATTCAGTCTTTGACCATTAAATATGATGTTAACTGTAGGTTTTTTGTATGTGTACTTTAGCAAATCGAGGACCTTCCCTCCTATTTCTAGTTTGTTGAATGTTTTTATCCTGAGTGGGTGTTGGATTTTGTCAGGTGCTTTTTCCGCATGATGATCTTATTTTTAAAATTGTTGTATTGTGGTAAATACATATATATATATATATGTAAAGCAAAACATTTGCCAATTCAACATTTTTGTGTGTATTTTTCAGTGACATTAGTTATGTTCATCGTGTTGTGCACCTGTCACCATCATCCACTTCCAAATTATTTCACCAATATTGCAGTGATCATCATTTGATGTTTCACTTTTAGTCTTTAGATTCGATTTGCTTATATTTAGTCTTTGGATTTAATTTGCTTATATTTTGTTGATGGTTTATATGTCCTTGTTAAC